TAGTTTCCAAAGCGAGTTCTTGTCAACGATATTCGAGCGCACTATCAGCTAGCTGTTTACTGTGAACACGTTGTATCTCCAGGTCACGTTTTCTTGCTTCGAACTGCTCTCACTCACGCTCACGGAGTAGGGCAGCCTCACGTTCCCTTTCTTCTTTCCTCAGGGCAGCCTCTTGTTCTTTTCGTTGTAGAGCTTCTTTCACCAGGGCCGCCTCGCGTTCTTGTTCTTCTTTCCTTAGGGCAGCCTCTCGTTCTTTTCGTTGTAGAGCTTCTTTCGCCAGGGCCGCCTCGCGTTCTTGTTCTTCTTTCCTTAGGGCAACCTCTTCCTTCCTTTGTTCCCGCTCGAGTTTTGCAAGTTCGAGCTTCAACTTCATAGCTGCCAGAGCATGTCTATCTGCAATAGAATAATTTTCGTGAGTTTCAGAGTCAATCTTCCCTTCATCTAAGAGGTGATCCAATATTAAATTATGCAAGTCATTTTTGTTGGCTCCATGGGGAACATCTAGTTGATACTCGTGTGCAAGAGTTTGTAATTCGGTGTTCTTGGCACGAATTAAGTTCCCTATTTCACCTGCTGGATCGTTACGGAAAGCTTGGAGACGAAACATGGTGAAAAATAGCAAATAAATGTACAACGAATATTTTTGTGATATGGTAAATGTCAGTAACAAGATGACGTGCCAACTGGTAACTATCCTGTGGAATTTAATATTTAACAATTTACATTAATTTTAGTATGATAAATGATTAGTCAATCAAAATCGCAGGAAATCTTGTACCCGGTACTCAAAGTAAGAGAATAAGGGCAAGAAAATCCTACTAAATAAATGAAACTGATAGTTTCTAAAACAAATGAAACATTTAATTGTTCCAAAAGTGAATAAGGTAGTCCAAGAATGTAGGCATACCTTGCCGAGTCTCTATAGGACAGAAGCAAGGGTTTTCCCACTAAATGAAATATGATACTTACAGAATTAGCGAACTTTGTGCTCTGAAAAAAGAAAGCTAATTCCCTACCTAAGTAAATATCATCATCTCTGACCGACGTGTAAGGGTGCGAGTGTCAACTGGTGACGAGAACTGCTGTTGAGGTCCCAACTCAGCAACTTAGTCCGTGCTAGAGGAACTATGGCCCTCTTATCCTCCTTCGGTCGGATTGCAGAAGATAGGGTGCTTTGACCCGAAGACAAATCAAAGTACCAGGGTACCACAATGATGATCTGTCTGAGATTGAGAAATATCCTAGGGACAAAATGTGGAAAACACGAGTAATAACACGGAGGGAGGGATGACCAATTAAGAGAATGACTGCGGCCTACAGTCACCACGTAATCCAAAATTATCCAACACTCACCATATGCTACTCTCGGAATGCACAATACACACAGCACCATATAAATATTAAAATTAATGAAAATATTGAAAAGCAACTGTAGCAAAGCCAAGTACACTTACCACAAATTGGTGTTCTAGTACTAGTACCTGAGTGAGGCTCCTAGAACAGGCCCCATTTAATGTGACCGGAAAATGAAGGAGTGTAGATGTTCGGCAGTCTTCCTAATGACTGGTGTCAATGCCTATCACATTAAAGAAAAAAATGATCGACTGCTTGGCTGTTGTCTGTGGTAAAGTAAGGGAATACACGCAAAACACATAGTATGAACAATGAAATTTTAATTAAACTGAAAGCAAAATAAAAACAAAGACAATTCCTTGGCTATGTACAGTGCAAACAAACAAGTCAAAAAATATAACATAAAAATTAAGAACAGGGATGACATTACTCTGTAATATAAAGACAAAATGAAATAAGCAGGTGCTGAGAATAAAGCGCTAGCTGAGAAACATCCACCTGATAGACAGAGCGTATATCAGTTAGTTGTTCACAGCTTGAGAGCACAAGATATTCTAACTTCAATGACTGGTTCAAGCCCAGACATCGACCAAGTAGAGGGCGCTGAGGTGCAGAGGTGCAGGTGTGCAGTCGGCGGGTCACCAATCAGAAGCAGGCAGGCTGGGAATGGTAGTTTGCTGGTTGATGATGGTGGCGAGCCAGCATGGAGGGAGTGTGGAGTAGGGGGGACGTTTGCCTCCTGGTCAAAACGTTTTGTGCTACTGGTAGACGTATCTTGAAGGAAGCATCTTATTGTTGTATGTATATAAGTAACTTTATGTAGGGAAAAGCAGGCTCAATCTCTCTTGAAAGAGATTATCGTCACAATATTTATATATATATATATATATATATATATATATATATATATATATATATATATATATATATATATATATATATATATATATATATATATATATATATATATATATATATATATATATATATATATATATATATATATATATATATATATATATATATATATATATATATATATATATAAAATTATAAAAAAAAATCTAATTTTGGTATTTCGTCAATTGGGTCGACACTGGTATTTCGTCAACTCGTACACAGGATGGCATTGGAAGGGAATTAATTAGTTTTCATTCAGAGTTGCTGGTGCCGTGCTCTCTCAGGCCGGGGCTGTGAGGAACCTCTGGGACCCAGATTGAGATCCAATTAAACTGTCAAGAGAGTTTGGTGGACGATTCTCCCTGCGTCACCAGAGCTTCGACAGGTCATTTGTTGGTTCCTGACCCTGTGAGAACCATGGGGATGTGTTGCACAGTACTCCTGACCCTGTGAGAACCATGGGGGATGTGTTGCACAGTACTCCTGACCCTGTGAGAACCATAGTGTTGTGTTGCACAGTACTCCTGACCCTGTGAGAACCATAGTGTTGTGTTGCACAGTACTCCTGACCCTGAGAGAACCATAGTGTTGTGTTGCACAGTACTCCTGACCCTGTGAGAACCATAGTGTTGTGTTGCACAGTACTCCTGACCCTGAGAGAACCATAGTGTTGTGTTGCACAGTACTCCTGACCCTGTGAGAACCATAGTGTTGTGTTGCACAGTACTCCTGACCCTGTGAGAACCATGGGGATGTGTTGCACAGTACTCCTGACCCTGTGAGAACCATGGGGATGTGTTGCACAGTACTCCTGACCCTGTGAGAACCATAGTGTTGTGTTGCACAGTACTCCTGACCCTGTGAGAACCATGGGGATGTGTTGCACAGTACTCCTGACCCTGTGAGAACCATGGGGATGTGTTGCACAGTATTCCTGACCCTGTGAGAACCATGGGGATGTGTTGCACAGTACTCCTGACCCTGTGAGAACCATGGGGATGTGTTGCACAGTATTCCTGACCCTGTGAGAACCATGGGGATGTGTTGCACAGTACTTCTGACCCTGAGAGAACCTTAGTGATGTGTTGCACAGTACTCCTGACCCTGTGAGAACCATGGAGATGTGTTGCACAGTACTCCTGACCCTGTGTGAACCATAGTGTCGTGTTGCACAGTACTCCTGACCCTGAGAGAACCTTAGTGATGTGTTGCACAGTACTCCTGACCCTGTGAGAACCATGGGGATGTGTTGCACAGTATTCCTGACCCTGTGAGAACCATGGGGATGTGTTGCACAGTACTCCTGACCCTGAGAGAACCTTAGTGATGTGTTGCACAGTACTCCTGACCCTGTGAGAACCATGGGGATGTGTTGCACAGTACTCCTGACCCTGAGAGAACCTTAGTGGTGTGTTGCACAGTACTCCTGACCCTGTGAGAACCATAGTGTGGTGTTGCACAGTACTCCTGACCCTGAGAGAACCTTAGTGGTGTGTTGCACAGTACTCCTGACCCTGTGAGAACCATAGTGTGGTGTTGCACAGTACTCCTGACCCTGTGAGAACCATGGGGATGTGTTGCACAGTATTCCTGACCCTGTGAGAACCATGGGGATGTGTTGCACAGTACTCCTGACCCTGAGAGAACCTTAGTGATGTGTTGCACAGTACTCCTGACCCTGTGAGAACCATGGGGATGTGTTGCACAGTACTCCTGACCCTGTGTGAACCATAGTGTCGTGTTGCACAGTACTCCTGACCCTGAGAGAACCTTAGTGATGTGTTGCACAGTACTCCTGACCCTGTGAGAACCATGGGGATGTGTTGCACAGTATTCCTGACCCTGTGAGAACCATGGGGATGTGTTGCACAGTACTCCTGACCCTGAGAGAACCTTAGTGATGTGTTGCACAGTACTCCTGACCCTGTGAGAACCATGGGGATGTGTTGCACAGTACTCCTGACCCTGAGAGAACCTTAGTGGTGTGTTGCACAGTACTCCTGACCCTGTGAGAACCATAGTGTGGTGTTGCACAGTACTCCTGACCCTGAGAGAACCTTAGTGGTGTGTTGCACAGTACTCCTGACCCTGTGAGAACCATAGTGTGGTGTTGCACAGTACTCCTGACCCTGTGAGAACCATGGGGATGTGTTGCACAGTACTCCTGACCCTGTGAGAACCAAACTGATATTCATGAACTTCGTTATATTCTCATTATATGAAATTCAGCACAGAAAATATTATAATGTGCAGCAAGTTGTGTTATATTGGCATGTGTGATAACTACATACGTCAAGTGTTGCCAGTGAGTTGTCTAATATCAATATTTGCACTCGAGTGCATCTCATCATGATGCGTGAGCTCTGCAACTTCTTATTATTTGTTATATTGATAATTACTATGTTTCGCTTAGCAGCCTTTCGCTCCAACACAGAAGAGGACGTTTCCACCTCAGTTCGTGTAAGTGAAGCAGAGCTGCTGGCGCCGTGCTCAGGGTATAACACCAATGCTCCTCACGGAGTCCCCAAAGCTGAACTCCTGAATCAAATCTTAGAATATATAACAGAGAACGAAGTCATCACCTCTGAACGCCAAGAGCAATGTCAGATGGCCAAGTCGTCACTCGCCTGGAAGAAGATAAAACTATAACTGGGCGGAGCAGAAGACTGATGAGAGCTCAAGACTTGAAACTTGTATCACAACAACAACGATACCAATATGAAATGAAGAGAAGCTTGCTGAACTAGAACGACGACGGGAACCACAAGGTGAACTAGAACGACAACGGGAACCACAAGGTGAACTAGAACGACAGCGGGAACCACAAGGTGAAGTAGAACGGCAGCGGGAACCACAAGGTGAAGTAGAACGGCAGCGGGAACCACAAGGTGAACTAGAACAACAGCGGGAACCACAAGGTGAACTAGAACAACAGCGGGAACCACAAGGTGAACTAGAACGGCAGCGGGAACCACAAGGTGAACTAGAACAACAACGGGAACCACAAGGTGAACTAGAACAACAGCGGGAACCACAAGGTGAACTAGAACAACAGCGGGAACCACAAGGTGAACTAGAACGGCAGCGGGAACCACAAGGTGAACTAGAACGGCAGCGGGAACCACAAGGTGAACTAGAACAACAGCGGGAACCACAAGGTGAACTAGAACAACAACGGGAACCACAAGGTGAACTAGAACGGCAGCGGGAACCACAAGGTGAACTAGAACGGCAGCGGGAACCACAAGGTGAACTAGAACGGCAGCGGGAACCACAAGGTGAACTAGAACAACAGCGGGAACCACAAGGTGAACTAGAACAACAGCGGGAACCACAAGGTGAACTAGAACAACAGCGGGAACCACAAGGTGAACTAGAACAACAGCGGGAACAAGTGCGAGCCGAATTGGAAGTGAAGGTTGAAGACGATAAATCTGTCATTGTACTAAACTTAGGAACACATGAACTGGGACTTAAGACTACTCACTATGAGCAGCGACAACACGCGGCACGACCCTACTCACTGTATCAAGATGCTGCTACCTTTTGCTGAGACCCAAGTCCACTCCTTCTTCACGTCGTTTGAAGCCCTTACTAACATCTGAACTGCCCTATAGAGTAGTCAGTGTTTCTGAGAGCACATCTCGCTGGGAGAGCCGCTTTAACTCTCAGTACTCTCGCCTCCCACACAAATTACCACCTTCTTAAGGACGACATCCTCGACGTCTACCTTGCTTCACCGGACATCCTCGACGTCTACCTTGCTTCACCAGACATCCTCGACGTCTACATTGCTTCACCGGATAATTATCGACGACGCCTCAGAGATTACTACCAAAGCACCAGTCACACCTACTTTGAATATGTTCAGGCGAAGGCAAGAGGTTTTTATAGGCGGTTAGAGGCTGCTAATGTAAGTGACTTTAGTGACTTAGTTAATCTCATTCTCGAGGAAGAATTCATGCAACACATTTGACCAAAGAGCCGAAGCTCTTTGCTCAAAGAGCTAAACTAGGTGAGTGCATTCCTCACCTCGTGCGTTTACCCTTTAGATTAGTCTTACCCTTGCACACAAGGGTAAGACTAATCTTAACAAATGTGCCCAATTAGAAGACTGTTACTCCCAGATTCACTCATTATGACATCTATGGTGTAAATCCCAAGAAAACATCCTGGTTCAATTATCCTCCATCTAAATTTATGTCAGAGATACAAATTTTGCTAAATACTGTAGGTATTGTAAGACTCGTGATCATAGAGTAGAGGAATGCACTAATCCTTATTGTAAATCCTCCACAACAACTAGCACTGACTCACCTAAGCCCAAACCTCTTAAGTCTAATAAATCCCAAACCTGTTATGCATGTTAATATACCAGCTAGTAACCTTTCTTTATCTGGCAGACATGTTTGCCAGGGTAGAGTGCCTACTGACGGTGCAGACTCAGCTGGGAAGGTCCCGATGCGTATCTTGAGGGCCACAACTTCGCTACAGACACTCATCACGAGGTACTACCGCCTGTAAACTATACCGGACGAACAGATCTCCTCACGGACCTTACCGCCACAGCACCTTATCCTTGACTGAAGTATACCTTAACTGTCATTATACTCGCGAATTGGTCCAAATCGCCACACGATCTTTCCCAATATCAGGGGTCCAACGTCAGCTGGACAATGATGAGGCTCACTTCCAGACCTCCACCAACCTCATCATCCTCAGTCAGCCTAAGGTATGTCCACCAGTTACAGAAGAGGACGACCCTGCCGTGACTCAACCATGACCCTGCCGTGACTCTGTCTTGACTCTGCCGTGTCTCTGCTGTGACTCTGTCATGACTATGCTGTGACTCTGCTGTTGTTGGATAATGAGAACTTTAACTCCAATATAATAATGTTTAATTGAGAAATCGATAAACTCGAAGGACCACCCACTTTTGAGGAAAGAGGGAAAACAAATATAGGGAATCATAAAGCTGACACTGATATACCAGGGCCTATGGATGATAAATTATTTGGAAATTATCTTGAAAAGCATGACTGGACTGTGATAATGATTAATTGAGTGTTAAAATCCTCACTTCAACATTTGGGGGTATTACTAGAAATTAATATATATCTAGGATAATAACATAAGAACATAGGAACAAAGGCAACTGCAGAAGGCCTATTGGCCCATACGAGGCAGCTCCTAACTGGTGCTGGTTCATCACCAGTTGGTTAATTACATCATTAAAGTTTATAGAAT